TCTTTTCCAAAGAGTCCTCTCTTCGCATTAGGTGACCAAAGTATCTGAGCTTGAGCTTGATGATGAAACTCAAGCTCAGATTCAGCTAATCTAGCACACTTTCAACAAAGTGTGTTCTGGGCTTTCAAGTATACCTCAACTGATCTTTCACCATTTTCTATTTGTCATACATGATGGAAGCTAATTCTTAAAAGAATTAAATCACTAAATATCTACTAACTTTCCCATAGGTGTATTACTTCAAGTGATACAGGTAGCCTTTGCTTAATGATAATTGGGACTGGAATCTTGATCGCTGAGCAAAGCAATCGTTAAGCAAAATGCCCACGTGACTGCTTCGCTCAACAACCGCAATTCAGACACTCCCGGTTGCAGCCATTAAGCAATCTCCTGGGTCATTAAGCAGACAGAGCAAAAGAGCTGAAATCCTCCTGGCAGGCAGCCTTTTCACTCTGAAATGGTCCTGCAGCCCACCAAAGGTTTCCCCTCCCCTCCACTTGCAACCTTCCCTGCCAGCTTCCCCATTGACTTTCTGGGAAAGCCAGCAGAGAAGATTGCAAACGGTGATCACACGATCATGGGGTAGTTGCCAACCAGTCGTAAATGCAAGTGGGTTGCCAAGCACCCAAAATGTGGCCATGTGACTGCGGAGGGGGCGACGCAACATTTTATGACAGCTGTCGTAACTTTGAACTGTCGTTAAATGAGGACTGCTTGTATTTAGAATAAAAGTTTAGGAAAATAATTACCACACAAGCCCAATAGTGCCACCTCCTGGTGAAAAATAAGATACTACCAAAAAAGAGTCTGGATTAAAAGCTTCCCACAAATAAAAATGACAGAGTGTTTATTAAGTAAAAATGTTTCAGACTTCATAAGATTGTAAGAAAAGTAGGATATTTTACAATTCTAAAATATAGTTAGAATTTAAGTAAATACATAAAATGGATTAAAATAAGGGCTATGCAATGCTTTGGAGTCAGTTCCCAAAAGGTGCTTCAGAACACAGGGGTGTGTGAATTAAGCATTGGTCTGCAACTTTTTAAAGCAGACACATCTTTTCCCAGGATTGCTCATCTGTCCTCTGCAGCTGCCATCTGATCTGGAAAAAGATGAGGATGCTTTAAAAACCTGCATGCAGGTAGTATGCTTCATGCTCCCACATACTTTCAAGTGCCATTTTGGAATTGAATCCAAAGCGCTGCATGACCCTATTGAAATTATCGCAAGACAACTTTTAACCAATTCAAAACACTATGATTTATAAAACACATGCAGCCAAGTCGAAAAGCTCTAAAAGCATAATGCTATCAGTCTCAAAAAAGGTTTATCATCGTATAGATTTTTTTTTCTTGCAACATTTTTCATACTGAGTCAAATCTGGCAGTTTGGTTCATAGAAAATTTTGATTGCTTGTCCAATGAGAGAATCAAAGTTTCAAGAGGGAAATGTTATTCAGGACAACATATATAGAAAGTAAATAGTGATATCTGAAAGACAGAAGCTTTGCCGCCGTGCAGTTGATTCTTGGGACTAAAGATGCTCCTAAGCCCAGCTTGGAGAAAGCCAACTGACTCACAGGCACCAAATTGGGTTCCAATTTACAACTAGAGCTGTATGGGCCAAAAAAAAAAAAAGAAGAGCAAAGTGCAAAGATTCTCTCCTGATCCTGATCAAGCAAAGTCAGCATTCCTCTTCTATCAAGTTGCAGGCTGCATATCAGACTGTGGGTACTGAAGAACACCTCTCTTGAAAACAGTGTTACCACCATTTTAAAAAAAGTATTACTGTGCCTTTATATATACATTAAAGTGCAGTCTCATTTAAAGTAGTCCCCATCCCTTGGGAATTGGCCTGGAAGCTTTGCAGTAGTATTGTTAGTAGTGATTATGTTGTCATAATATATATCGAAGCCTTATCTCTTTCGCTTCAACGGTGAAATGACTGAAATTGCATAAGCAGAAGAGAGTAAGATGCCTTTTAAGTGACCAAGTTACAGAATGGAATCTGAAATGCAGTTTTGCTCAACTGAGGCAGCAGCTATCTCCACAATTTTAAGCATTTAGGCTTTTTCACAATAACATTCTTGCAGGTTTCCAAAGTATTTTCCTATAAAATGCAGATCTGACGAGTTATGTGATTTTCATGCTAACTCGCCACACAACGTCACTTTCATAAAGACCCCTGCTTTAGGAAAGAACAAAAAATTAAACTCCAACTTAAGGCCCAGCACCCTTCAGTAAGTTCTCTATTTAAAGAAAAAAAAAGAGTAAAATCTATTCTTCTTCATTATCTTCTTCTTCACCATAATATCTATTCCTCTTGATCTGTTCTTCCACTGTCAAATCTTCTTGGTCTTTCCCCTCAAAAAGCCCTAAATCTTCGGATCTATGATTTGGACTAGTGGAGAATTCTTTTTCAATTGTCAGACTCATGGTGGAATATTCCGGAGAGATGCAAATCATTGGTTCTTTCTCAAAGGATGCTGGCTGTCCTGCACCACCTTCCTTCTCAAGCTCAGCATCTCTCTGCCCATTCTTAATTAGGCTGTCTTCATCTTGTGCTTCTTCCTTTTCCTGATCTAGTTCTTTATCCTTCCCAGCAGTATTTGGGGTACCAACATACTCAGCTGTAATGCTTTCTTCCATTGGCTTGTTCTTGACTGCCATTTCCTTCACCAGGTCATCACTTTGCCGTGCCATACTTCTTTCATGCTTGGAAGGAGATGTTTTTCCCATTTGATAGTTCTTCACAGATACTGTTCTAAATGAGGCAGCTACTGTAAATGGCCGACTTCTTTCTTTTAGTGATGATGTTCTGCGTAGCTTCTTAAGATCTTGGTCTACTTCTTCCTGGTGATCTGGTTTATGGACCTCATCTTCTGGAGGCCACTTTGGTTTGAACACTTTAATCCCTTCTTCCAAGACATTCCCTAGACTGCCTTGTTCAGAAGGAGGTGGCCAAGCAATCTTCAACTTTTTTGTCTCTGTTGTTTTTTCTTCCTTCTCAGGCACCCCAGCAGCTTTTGCTTCCATGCTGGCAGCTAAAATCCCAACTTTTGCAATTGGAGCATCTTCTACTCCTGGACTTCGAGGGGCTTCCACAGCATTTCCAATACAGGTATGTTTTTCCTGAGAGTCATCATTCTCAGTTTTGCTTGCCCATAGCTCTTTGTGAGGCTTCTGTCCAAAACCTTCATCATAATTACCTTTGGATTTAAAGAGCTGGTTAAAGTGAGGTTTGCAGTAAATATGTCCATGAAGAGATGCGTATGTTCCAAGACTGTACAAGAAGATAAAACAAAAATGGCTATTAGTAACTCACATAATTGAAAAAGCTTACTATGCCTTCAAAAAAAAAGTCAGATGTTTTATAACTGACTCCATAAGACATTCTAAGCTAATGTACCACATAGGGCAGTTGCATCCATATACTGTTAAATATTATATCAATCCAATTACACTAGTCATGCTCTGTTTAAAATTACTTCCCTTATATAGAACTTTAAAAGGGAAAACTTTCTCAGACATAGAAAATAGTCATAGTTCTAAAAAATCATGGTTATTAAAAGGAACGCCTGCTGTTCTATTACAAAGGACTATATATAAAGAGAAAATTGGTGTACCCAATCTGCAGATGGAAATTGTAACACTGAATAAAACAATTCATTTCAGGACAGTAATCTAGAAAGAAATGCAACTTCCATATTACTAACTGTACTAAGACAGTAATTATTCTCTGTGTCAGACCCTTTCCCCTCTGAATGGAAGTCTTGGGTATCCTTCTTCTGGACTTTGCTTGAACAGATCTGATCATCATTGTTGCATCATCGCAACAGCACTCCTACTAGATCAGAATAATGCTGGGTCCCCAATCCAATAGCTGGCCAGATGCCTTTGTGAAGCCCTCAAATAGGACACAAAGAAAGAGGATACTACAATGGGATTGCAACTTTCAAAATTTGTTCCATTCTACAGTACAGTGGATCATTTTTCTATATTGTTAGGCCTGCAACCTAAGACATTTTTATTAAATTTTACTAAACCATATATTCCTTCAAAATATACTGAATTGGCATTGTATGTCAATGGCTGCAAGGATCGTATATGCCTTTTATTGGGGAAAAAATCTTTGATTCCTTTTAATTAAAATGGCTAACTAAATTGAAGGAGTATGCTTTGATATTGTGATGGAATGGAATTATGAAGGCCAAGCTCAGGGAGATAAGCATTTTCTTAGCTCACTGG